CAAATTAAGGCCATTTATTTCTAAATAACATGTGCAGATATAAGGAAGCCACTGCCTCGTGGAGATATACATATAAATATAATATGCAGAAGTTTAATTTTATTCTGTGAAGAATACATGAGGGAAATTCCACAGCAAAACCACGAAAAAAGGTTTCGCACAACTATAGCACAATACTTTTTAAACATACACACAGAATTTCTAAAAATACTTTTTAAACATAGACATAGAATTTCAAAACAAACGAGTTATCTCTCTCATATCCTCCCCATATTATTTCCAATTACTATGCAGCCAACTATCCTAACAACACCTTCTTAAGTGGACAGGATGAGGGGATAAATAAGCTTAAGCAAATCCACAGTGTTACCTCTTCTCTGTTTCCCCCCCTCCAGTAATTGGCACTCCCACCCTTAAGCCTCAGAGAGGATCAGGACCCCTTCCAAGCAAAACGGGAGTTGCTGGCCAGGAGGAGAGGGTAGGATTTGTGTTTGTGTGTATTTGTGTGTGTGTGTTTTCTTGTCAACTTTCCTCCTGCGAACTTTATATTAGCTTAACTTGGTTCCAAGTCATTCCAAAGAAAAACAACGGAAGCATTTAAGCATTTGTTCTCGTTTCCAATTGGTTGAGCTTTGTAAATATCAAAGGAAGCCACTGACGCACAGATCAGATTCTCAAATTCTGTGTTTTGCCTTAGTGAAATAGGTGCTCCTAGGAGCTCATAAGATAAGACACGGAGATGCCTGGCCCATCTTCTTTCTGTCTCAGCATTTGGTAATGCACGGAGGGTCCAGAGATGTCTCCCAACAGAAAGGCCCAAACATGCTGACATTCAAAGCCATATATACATTTTGGGCTGAGCGACACATTACAGAGCGGCTGTCATTAGAAATGGAAATGTTTTAAGTATTCTAGAGAAGGGATTCTGAGAAATCTTTGAGACAGAGCTATCTGACTTGCTAATGAGGCCTGTGCTCGCCTCCCAGTGACAAACCACAACAAGCTTCTTTACAAACAATGGGAGGTATGAAAAGCTCCTGCCAGATGTTCACTCAAACAACCAGATGTTCGAAGCACTTACTGATTTCCCTCCCCCATGGTGATCGGTCAGGTACCCTCTGGCCCAGCCTCCACCTGGCATTTCCATGAAAAACCGACATTTTAGATTTTGCACATAGAGCCAACAAAGTTTAGTGGCAATGAAACAGAGCTGGAAGTGACTCTTCCTCTCCCCTCAGGTCCTGCAATGCCCCGTCTGATGAAGACTTTAAAAGTGTCCTTGTCAAAGTTTTTAGCAATCCAAGAAAAGTCCATCAAGCCAACCCGGATTTGGGATTTCACTCACAGACCACTGAGTTGCCTTTCTTTTTGAAAGCATGCCATCCACTCAAAGTTTGCTCTCTGTGGTTGTCGAAGGGGAAAGGGCTTCAGTGCTCAAAGTCTACTTCAGGTATCATCTGCTGATCTGGATCTGGTCGCTCTGAGACGCGAATACAATTCTACCGATACAGTGGGGTCTTGACTTAAGAACGGCTTGAGTTAAGAACATTTTGACTTAAGAACCACTCTCATAGGAAAATATGATGGACTTGACTTACATACTTAGATTTGAGTTAAGAACTGAAAAAAAACCACGTGGGAGGCAGGGAAAGTGCAAAATGTGAACTTTCAGTTAACTGTTGGCCAGTGAAAAGGGTGCCTGTCTGCTTCCTCGCTCCTCCCAGCGTTTAGAGAGTGGATTGGGAGACAGTCTTCAGACTGCCTGGTACTGTACTGCCTGGACTGTATTTTCCCTGCCTTCCCTGAACCTTTCTTGACCTAAGAAAAAAAGAAACAAAATATCCCCCTCTAGTGGTCGAAGGCAGAATAGCAGCTTCCCATTAGTTTCTATGGACGGAAAAGAGCAGATACGGATCAAATGGTTTTCAATGCATTCCTATGGGAAATGCAGATTTGACCTGAGAACTTTTTGACTTGAGAACCGCCTTCCAATACGGATTAAGTTCTCAAGTCAAGACCCCACTGTACAGAGATATCTGCTCGACTCTCAGCAAAGGGCAGGACAGCAGCTTCAGACAACGTCCCATAGCTATTACTTGGTGAAAACATTCAAGCGTTGGCGAACGAACAAGGGTAAAGTGGAGTCTTGTGGCATGGTGGTTAAACTGCAGTACTGCAGCCAAGACTCTGCTCAAGACCTGAGACAGATCCCGACGGACTCAGGTAAATGGCTCAAGGTTCACTCAGTCTTCCATCCTTCCAAAGTTAGTAAACTGAGTATCCAGCTGGCTGGGGAGGGGAGGGGGAAACTGGTGGCAGTGTGTAGCCTGAATAATTAAGAACTGTAAACCACCCAGAGAGTGCTTTAAGCGCTATGGGGTAGTATGTAAGCAGCACGCTTTGCTTTAAAGAGTGTCTCATTGTTTCCTCACTTTGACTAAGAGAAGAAACGGGTAAAGATGAATATGGAGTCTTTTGCTTATGCTTCAAGTGCTACATCATTGTCTTCAGGGTCATCATTTCACCCTCTTTCTCCCTCTTTTCCCACTGCAAGGCGAGAGAGAACCTTCTTAGCAGCAAAGCCCCTGGATCTGGATGCAAAACGCCTCAGGCTCAACCCCGGCATCTCCAGGATAGGCTCGGAAAGAGTCTCGCTTCAAACTCTGGAGGGTGACTGTTGGTTAAGACTGAGCAGAAAGGACTGGTATCCTCTGTCTTCCATTCCTCCAGGTCCTTTAAAACCATTCATTCGTTCAGATGCTCTCCATGGAATCGTTCCCAGCGGGCAGTAAAGATGGCGTTCCTCTGGACTGCCCTCCCAACGCACTCAGGTTGGCACCGGACGGAACAGACGGGGGCCTCATCCATTTCCAGCAAGCTCGTTTACCCGGAAAAGCGGGTTCCCAGTCATGGTTCTGGGGTGGCGTCTGAAGATGGACTTCCACTCACCTTTGACCAAAGGCGGGCGAACCCCTGTCCAAAACATCAGCCTCTGGGACGGACCTTGGCACAGCCAAGGAAGGCCTTTGCCGCTTCTGAGCCCAGGGCATCTTGAAGGGCATCTGGCAGCAGAGGACAGATCGCACCAGTCGGAGGACGGAGGGGCGGAGGATGACGAACACCCAGGGGTCGATGATGGAGTTGATGGACAGAAACCGCATCGCCAGAAGGTCGCCTTTGTAATCTCCATTCAGCGAAAAATAGTCCATGAAGGCACGGATCTGGAAAGGAAGAAACAGTGTACTTGTTAGCAGTTAGGCCATCTTTGAGCGTTGGGTCACCTTCGCTGCAAGTTTTGAAGATGGTTTGGTATTATTTCTAAAATACGCTCTTGGTGGGTTGGTTTACATTCACATCCTCTCCTCTTAAATAAATAAATAAAAATAAATAAAAATACGCTCTTGGTGGGTTGGTTTGCATTCACATCCTCTCCTCTCCCCCTATTTTATCTTCACAGCAGTCCTGCGAGGTGGGTCAGAGCAGCTCAGTCATGGAGCCTCGTCCCACCTCAGGCCCGTCCCGTCCCGTCCCCAGCCACCTCACTCCTGCCAGCCTCCTGAGGGGAGACGGAGAGTCAAGGCCCCAACTGTGCTCCCTTCTCAACACCTGCTTAACTGTGGGTGTGCGTGTTTGTCCATCTGCATGCATGTCTTCTTTTACATTTATTGTGCCTTCCCTCTCCCTAACCCAAATGGGTGGCACCGGCCATCTGAAATCAGGCTGGTCCATAGACACCCCGTGGGTTTCACCAGCCTCCTGAGGGGAGACGGAGAGTCAAGGCCCCAACTGTGCTCCCTTCTCAACACCTGCTTAACTGTGGGTGTGCGTGTTTGTCCATCTGCATGCATGTCTTCTTTTACATTTATTGTGCCTTCCCTCTCCCTAACCCAAATGGGTGGCACCGGCCATCTGAAATCAGGCTGGTCCATAGACACCCCGTGGGTTTCATAGACAAGTGGAGATTTGCACCCAGACCTCCCCCCCCCCNTGCTACCTACGTTGTCTGCAGCAGCTGTAAACTCTAAAAAAGGAATTTCCTGACTCCCAGTTGAATCTTTTAGATATGACACTAGGGGAAAGGTTTAAAAGGTGTGTGGGTTTTGTGCGCGCCGGTGTTGTTTCAGCATAGCAGGGATGTTGAAACACACACCTTTCTTTGAAGGCGGCTGTCTTACATCATAAGGGAGTCATGGGGATGAAAAGGACTAAGAATGACGCTGGGCTTCTCCGAAGGGCAGCGAGGAGAGGCCAGGAGGTAGGAAAAGCGGTCTGACGCAAGCCTGCCGGCCCGACCACAAACGCTTGTTGACCTCAGCATATGAGCCAGGCCTCCAACCATTTCCTGTGCTCTGTTTCAGATGGACGCAGAACCTCATTGCCACACCAATTAAAGTCAAAAATGGCTTTCTGCCTTAAAGGCTCTGTGTAAACCCGGGCAGTCTCTTTTTAGCCTGGTTCTGCAGATGCGGATCTGAAAACAGATCCCAGCCTGCCCTCCATAGGTGGTTACAGCCAAGTTACTATTTACTCGACAGGAGAAATGTGTTGCTTCCGTCAAGGGTCCCCCCTGCCCTCTGAGGCAAGTCCTGACAATTCGTGCTAGGCACGTCGTCCGGAGAGCAGGCATGCGTAGAGTGGCTCCTATTTTGCTTGCTTTTCTGGGGTCGCACGGAAGAAAGATGATGAGGGGCACAGGTTGAGACATTTGACATGGCACTCGCCGGACCCACAGAGCCTCCCTTGACGGTCGGTGCCCCCTCTTCCAACACAGCACCTTGAGGGCTAGCTGTGTGACATGGCAGCACAATGAGAACATGGGGAGAGGGGGGGAAATCACTTTTTAAAAAAATTATTATTAGCCAGTTAGTTTCACGGCTATTCTGCCTTTTCCTCAGGGGGTAGGCATGGTTCTCTTCCTCCACATGTCACCCTCACAACACCCCTGTGAGGTGGGACAGGATGGGAGACTGGTCCTCCATCAATTTCCTGAGTCAGAGGGTACCTGAACTGCCCAAGGGATTTCGCTGGGTCGGGCAGAACAGCCAAGGGGTCCCCAGTTAAAAATTCTGTCTCCCTTCCTGCCTTATCAATAGGATAATAATAAAATGAGTAATTCGCTCCCCTTTCTGTTTCATGAGGTCACTGTCTTACGCTTTCCTCCTTCCCTGAGGGGTTCATGTGGGGTGTGGGGATGTGAGGGGGGCAGCAGGATCCCCCTAGGGCCACATGGGGTCCATTCCCGGGTCCCTGACTCTCCTCTCCCTCACCTTTTGCCACACAAGAGGGTTTTTTGGGGGGGCACAAGACGCACCAATGCCATAACATGCGAAAGAGAATGGGAGGGAAAAAACAAACTAAATATAAAGCTTTTTCATGGTGGCCCACATCCATTTATTGATAAAATCCTCTCAGGAACCCTGACAACATCAAGGCGGAAAGGCTTTCGACTCATTCGTTACGGAAACAGAAGACTCGCTGGCGTTACAAACGCCTCCCTTGCCCGTTTTCGTTTAAGAAAAGCAGAGAAATCTATTCCACAAGAACGGAGGGGGCAAGAAATGCAAACTTTTGCACACCAGCTACAAATAATGGGGTGCACCAGGAGGAAGACTCCAGGAGAAAGGCTCAAAAGAATTTAAAGAAGATATAGAAAAAGAAGGAAGGGGTTATCCATGTCACGGGGGGTGGGGGGTGGCGGCGGCGCTGAGAAATGATGTCTTGAGTAAGGCCATCTTGTGAGATTCCCAGCCAAGCAAAGATCTGAAATGGAGATTTTCCAACGACAGTTTATATTCTCAACCTTTTAGCACAGGCCTCAAGGGAACGGCGGTTCCGCAGAAGGATTGCTACGGGCAAACACTCTCCTCCATATATAAAAAAAAGCAGCTGAGAATTTGACAGCGGAGATTTGGGGCTCTAATTCAAACTTCTAAAAAAAGAGGGGAAAATTTATTTATTCTGACCGAAGCAGAGAAAATAAAAAACTTGGAAATAAGAGACAAAATATAAATGTAGGCTAGGCATATACATGAATATATCGGGTGATTCACATGTGTCTGAAAAAGATTTTGCTTGGAGTTTGTGTAGGTAAAATAGACATTTGGGTATAGCCGTTGTCATGAGACTGCAGCCAAGAAATCAGAAGGAGATTTGGACCAAGAAATCAGAAGACTGAGATTTGGAAAGTGTAGCAATGAAGAAACTAGAAAAGACCAAGATCATCCACCCTCTTGGATTCCTGATCACCATGTATGGGTGTGAGAGCTGAAGAGTTAAGACAGGAAACATTTGATGTGTCTTCTGAATCGTGTTGCTGAAGGAGAACTTTACAGAGACCTTGGACTGCCAGAAAGATGAACACGTAGGTCCTAGATCAAATCAAGACAAGAATCATGATGAGTACAGAAGGACGGCAGAGCTTTAAGGCTGACAACGAGGAAATTGAAATAGTTAAGGGATGTTGTTGACCTTGCTTCAATCATCAACCCATCAAGTTACCTTGGGTCCTTTTGGGGAGAAAAGCAGGATAGAGATATTTTAAATCAATTAATCAATCAAAGGAAGACAGAGACTTGGAAAGTACAAGCAACGAAGGAACTAGAAAAGGTCATCATCAAGGATATGGATGGGTCACTGGGGGCTAAGACCAAGATCATCCACACTCTTGTATTTCCCATCACCATGTACAAGAAATCTGATAGGAAAAGAATCGATTCATTTGAAATGTGGGGCTGGAGGATTGCTTTGCGGATATGCTGGATGGCCAGAAAAAAACAAGTGGGTCATTGATCAAATCAAGCCTGAACTCTCTCTGGAGGCAAAAGCATTGAAGCTGAGGCTGCCCTCCTTTGGGCACGTCGTGAGAAGGCAGGATTCTCTGGGAAAGACCATCGTGCTGGGAAAGGGGAAAAGAGGAAGGCGAGATGGACGGACTCCCTCAAGGAAGCCAAGGGGTTGAGTCTGCAAGAGCTGTTCAGGGCAGGGCATTTTGGAGATGGCTCCTTCAGAGGTTCACCAGAACTCAGAAGCCATTGGATGGCACACAACGACGTTGTAGGGAGACCTATTGAATAGTGTCCTTTTCTCTTCCCACCCCCTGAAGTCTTCTGGTGATGGCAAGAGTCTTGCAAAAATCCAGCCGGTTTGACCGCCAACTTTAAGGGATGAAGCTTAGACATACCTGGACACGGACAAATGGAAAAGGATGTTCTACGCAATACACAGTTATAATTTGCTGTGATCTTTCCAGAACCAAAGCGTGGTTCCCTGGACAGGCCAACATCATAGACCTCAAAGAAGCACCGGCTAGAAGGCCACACCGAATTTCAGCAACACTTGGCAGTTGTAATCCAAACGGACAACGGAGAGGTGGAAGACGGGAACTCTCCTTCTGAGAATGCATCCAACATGCACACTACAGAAATCGGAACACACACTCTTTCTCTCTGTGGGTGCATATGCACAAACGGCATCACTTTTGCTGACACACGCTCATCTTCACATACAATTCCGATTTTTATCTGGCTGGGCGGAATGGGAAGTAGCTTCTGCCAGCCCTGCTCCTACTGTGTTTTCCCTCGGCTCCACCGACTCAAGATCCAAGCCGTGCCCTGTTAGCTATCCCAGGTCAATACATCCATATCCAGATGTGCTGATTTATACCCCGCCTATCTGGTCCAATCCAAATCGTGCCCTATTAGCTATCCCAGGTCAATACATCCGTATCCAAATGTGGCATGTCTCTGAATATCTGACACTAGGGATAAGCAGCAGGGCATACGCATCTATCTCATGTCTTAATTGCAGACACCTTAGAAGGATCTCTGTGTTAGAGCAGCAGAAACTGGGTACACACAAAGGGTGAGGTCTCAAAAAATCTCCCCACAAACTAGATTCTCCGGGGCCAGCTCTAGCTGTGATTTGACAGTTCTTGGTGTGCTGAATTGCTTCTTTACAAACACACACAAACTGCCTTTCTGCAGACGCCTGCTGCTTGCAGAAAGAACAGGAGCAACAAATTCATGGCTGTTTGGCCATGTTCTGGAGGTTTTTCTTCCCAATGTTTTGTCAGTCTCTGTGGCTGGCGTTTTCAGAGGACAGGAGTTAGAACTCTGTCTGTGTTCTTGTGTAGAACAAGGACCAGTGATCAATGGACACGGTGATCATTGCACACAAAAGACTAGCTAACAACACCCATCAATCACAGCGACAGATCATCTCC